GGATAAATGCTTTCCACAAGGTTTGTCTCTAAATACTACTAATTTAAAGAAAATTTAAAGAAAAATAAGTTTAGGATAGACTGTGAAAAGTGATTTTTTAGCAACAGAGACAATTGGGATCACCACATACTGGGGAGGTGGAAAATGAAGTACATCCCAACCAAATAACTGCCTAAATCTGAAGTGTTTTGGTAAATTAGAAATATAAGCTTTGTGGAAACTAAATTCACACTAGTAACTTTTGAGATTAAAATTATTTATTAAATATGCACCACCACTGAGGAAGAAGGGTTCATCAAAATGCTCAGCTTTCTTTTCATTCATCTAGTCAAAGAGTAATTGTGAACTGTAAAATTATTATAGAGATTTTCTTAAGAGTGCAGAAGCCAAAGACCTAAAGACATCAAATTCTTGTTTCATGCAACTTTTTAGCAACACCTTTTCTACAGCAACCTTAGAACTGGTTAAGTAGATTGTACAAGTCTCTCTAACAGCCTTGTTTTTAGTATAGTCAGTGAGGACAGAACCTAGGTAAGAGATCCAGCCAGGACACATTTATCTACCATACCTATTTAATTATTCAATGGGAAAGACGTTCTGTTTGACACACAACACAGCAAGAACATTGTGCGATGCCAAGGCCGTGCATGCCAAAGAGACATAAAGAAATGGTACCCAATCCTTCAAGTAAATATTTGCCTGTCATACATCAAGATGCTGGAATGGGTTCAAAACTCCATAAAACAGGCAAAAGTCTTCTCCAGCTTGAAGAGGCAGCTGCAAGCCTTTACTGTTTACTGGTTTTCAGTGTTGCTCTTCACATTGCTGGAGAGAGGATCTAACATCTTCAGAAAACTCATGGGAGTTTACTTCTTTACTTACTTGAAGCAGCGGACAGGTATAAGAAAGCCCTGAATTATAAAGATAAATCAACACCTGTAGAAGCTTTTACAGCTTGTACAAGACACAACATTACTAAATATGAGCTCTCAAATGTTTTCCAGCATGAATTAACTGTAACCCAAGACCTTGCTATTTTCTCGACTCATTCCTTAGTGGAGGAATGAGTTGAGGAAAGTTGTAAAGCAGATTCTCAGTCCCCAGAGAATAAAGCCGATTATAGAAGAACTAGGATTATACATACCTTAATAACAACCTTTGCCTTCTTACCTCTTTGGGCCGAAATAGAGGCAAGAGAGAGGAAACAAACTAAGCTAAACTGCAGAATTCACTTCATAACTAGCATTCTTAACTGAACTACTGTAAGAAAGAAGTTCATATGAATTCTATCTTGTTTTGCGAGCAATCAGAATAAGGCCATAACATCTGTAGATGGGAAAAGTACAATCTTTACTATATGGAATAAAGAAAGAAATAACAGAAAACAAAGCAAAATGAGCAATGGCAGTAAATTGGTGGAACAAGGCCTATCACATGACTAAGGAAATGCATAATGGAAAAGGGAAAGCAAGGCCCTGCCCTTGGGGAAAAATGTCACAAGATAGGCACTTAGGCCACACATTTTCATAATTCATTAAGGAAAGAAAATCCTAAAGATAGAGAATAAAATTACAACTTTAAACTTTAAAATATTATCTTGACTTTATTCTTTTTTTCCACAGAACAAATTGATTAAGTCAATCAGGAAGTCCCTTAATGTTCCATGCTTCTCAGTTATTCATATAATTTTACATATTTTACAAGAAAAAACAAGCAGTTCCTATTTCAACAATAGCTTTTCAGTGATTTTTTTTTAATTGGGATCGTAATATTTTCATTCTGTGACCCCTGCTCCACTGAGGGAAACAGAAGGATACAGTATTATAGCGTTACACACAAGATACTTAGAAGAACTCTATAGCAGTGGAATCCGAATGTAATTTTATTATTAAAAATATTTATGAATTGCATAACTAAGACACGTTTTGCAAGCACCAAGAAAAAGAAAAAAAAACCCAAGCAGTTTTAGTGTTCTTACATATGGGTATTGTATGTGACTATTGAAAAAAGTGTCGCACTAGCTTTCTGATCTACCTTACGTAAAACACAGCTTTATCTTCTGTACTTCCAGCCATCAGAAAGATAAATAGCAGCATGTTAGGTGTCAGAGGGAGTGAAAACTTGAAAGGACTCAGGGCAAACTTGGTGATGGACAGTATATAAGCAATTATCAAGGAGTCTTAAGATCAACTAGTAACACTTTATCCATTAAAGTGGAAAGCACAATGTATCCTGAGATTATCAGGCAGATTTGATCTACAATCAAGAAAAAAAACTACCCCACAACAAACACCAAACAAAAAATACCTAAACCACCAAACTTGTACTAATGCAGTGCAGTTCAATATTCGAGTCAGCAGGCATTGAGCAGAATGTTAAACAGCAGGGGTGAAGAGAAAAGGAAATTATATTAAACCTGCTAACAATGTAAAACATTTTCAGTAATTTTCTATTTTTGATAATCATAAAGGTTGTCAAAAGTAGACTAGAAGTTCAGGTGATTAAACAATAGGTCATGTCATTAAAATAAGGTCACTGCGGTATTTTGGCTGTTTTTTCAAGTGACTAGTTGAGCGACTTCGTGCTTTTTTGCCTTGTCGGCTCTTTTTTTTTTGCTTTGTTTTTGTGTTATTCCCCCCAGTGCTTTATTTTCAGTAGTTTATATTTGTTGGAAAAAAAATTTAAATTCATCATGAGTAACAAAAAGTGTGCTGGAGAAAACAGTACAGAATAATCAATTCTAACACACAGGCTACATGGCTTTAAGTCAATTCACTAAATCTTTTCTTAAAATAAACAAGTCTTTCAAAAAGGATTCTGAAAAACTGGCAATATTAGGACATCAGAGCTCACATACAGTGTAATTCTACATTAGTAACAAGTCTTCAGTACAGACATCTAAGACAGACTCAGCTGTCTGGAAATTACCTGGAAGGATCAAAATAAAACTCAGCATAACACTTCTAATAAAACAAGTTTATTGTTGATGATGACATCGATCAGTGAAAGAAAAGTAATTACTGACGATAGTTTAAAATCTGTTTTGTTCTCTTGTAAAGAGGAAATGTCACAAAGCCGCTTTATTATGACAAATAATTATTAAGCTGCGTAACAACTTCATTTTGCATTTGTGTGTGCTATCAACTTTTATATTGTTAATATAGGAACACTGAGACAAGGAAAAGTGACCAACAATATTCAGCTTAGAAGACAAACCTGAGTATGAGAGCATGACTCCAAATAGTGATTAAGAACTGCAAATACATAGTAAGGACTAGAGTTAGCATCCAAACACAAAAAAGTGAAGAACAAGGTGCTAATCAACTTTCTCCTGAAAAAATACTATTGCTGCAAGGACCTTTTAGCAACAAAACAGGAAAACCTTGGAAAGAAACCATGAAAGTTTTGTTTACTGTGATGATGTCGGTTGGCATTTCTCTAATATAATTATCTAAATTTATTTGTTGGAATTTACTCTATCCACCTAGGCTTCCTTGAAAGAAAAAAGAACCTTGAGAAAGGTACCTTTCATTTCTGAATGGACTGAAAGGTCCTTGGAAAATCCTTATTTCTCCTCAGTAACAACTGAGGAAGCTTCAATGACTAGATCAGGATGCAGCAGGATGTTAGGACTATGCTATTTCAGCCTCAGAAGTGATCCAGGTCATTCAACTCATCCTGTGGCTACATGACTGACAATCCAACATGGGAGGAGAGAGAACAAGAGGAACAAGAGCTCAGAAATCATCAGAAGAGGCAGGAAGACAGACCACTGCTTCAGGTTGGCATCTCACTACTAGATCAACTTAATCTAACACCAGCTCAAGTTCTTAGACTGTGAGAGCTAACTTTCAGAGCGTTAAAGTAAAATAAAAGCCACTCCTCAAGACTGTAATCAAAAGTGTGAAGAAAAGGCTGATTAACAACACAGAAAAAGGGTCAAAGTAAGTACAACCATACAGTAAGAAATTAGCATCTTAACAGCTCACCTACTGGGATAAAAATGAAAGGAGGGGAGGTTAAAGGTATACTTTTATAGAAACAGCAATGCATCAGCTGGGAAGAGCTTCAGATATCTTTCTAAGTACAAAAAGGCCACCTTGGAGGCTACACAAGCATCTGAGAGTTACAGCAAGAACACAAGTTAAAAGACCACTGGCAGGTAACCGAAGTTGACTGTTTGCAGCAGTAGTAATATGGCTATATGACCTAGAGGTAGGAAATTAAAATAAACACAGTCAACTAATTATTAGGGAATCAATACACAAATACTTTTTGTGCAGCTTTTCATAGTAAGAGTAAACAGCAAAGAATTGTGTTACTGATATTTTCTTAAAAGAAAAAGAAAGATACACTACTGGTATTTTCTTAAAAGAAAAAAAGTAAAAAGAATATGTATCTCTATTTCCATGACAGTCACAAATGAAGACTTTTGAAATTCCCAACTTCCATAAAGCAAATACATTCTAAACCTCGTAAAATAGACTGAGGCATACACCTCCATCACAATATTTGACAAAGAAATCATTGAAACAAGAATAAAATCGTGATACAAAATGAAGTTATACAGATGTCTATTTTCAGCTATACATACACATGTAGTAAAACCCTTCAGAATGTATATTGTAAAAGACTGTTTCCTAACCTTTACAAAAAAACATAAAATGTACATGAAATAAAATAGAAAACTGTTTTTAATAAAGTAAGCAACAAGTTTTGGAGAGAAAATATGTATAAAACTTTGGCTGACAGGTCAGTTACTAATTTTCAAACAATACAACTGAAATTTATTACACAGAAAGAATACCACACGATACTAGACTTTTATGAAGTTTCATATAGACAACTAAAAGTTGAGATTTTGTTTGGATATCCATTTAATTATTTTTCTACACATGCAAATAGCACTCTCTGCATGAACAGGCATTGATTTCTGAAGGGTTACGTATTTGTACAGACTATGTGGTTTATATTTTTTAATACAATTTGTTATCACATACCCATGTGTCTGTATGAACAGGCCTGATGTTGCTGAGAAGCACCTCTTCATAATTTCCATAATCAGAAAATTTAACAACTGCAGTTGTCCCAGAAGAATGGAGAGCTTCAATTTCTGCCCGGTAGAACTTGAAAGAGAAATTTTCAAGGTCATAAAATACTACCTGAAATACTACAAACAGCTTAACAACTACCTTGTCATATATATGTGTGTGTATATATTTAGGCTTTGTCAGCATTATATTTTGAATAAGATTTGTACCTGACAGTAAACCAAATTTATTAAACTTCCACATGGTAGGCTGCAAGGACACAGTAGAACATACTTAGAAAATATGCAGCTTATGAAATTAGAATGCACTTTTAGAAGACCTGTTTTCATTTCTCTGAAAGCAGAACAGATTAATCACTAACACAAATGCTGTTTGTATACAGAGAATTGTTATTTTAAGACTATTTCTTAAAATAGAGGTATCAGTACATCTACAGCCTATCAACCACAGACACTGCACATACTAATATACACCCATTTTAACACATAATAAACCATGATAAATATGTGATAAAACCATCCCTTCAAAAAGTCCTTTTCCTACAGCAAAATTGATTTTTTTTTTTTGCATTTATGCAAACACAGATCAGCTTTCTTGAAGATATTTTATCACTTATCTTACTAACACAATGAAATTTCAGTACTGCATTTTAACATCACATTTCAAAAAAGGAAAAAAACGTAAGCAAATAACAAAATAAACATCAATAAAAAAAGACATAAATTGGCAGGAATAAAACCTATTCAAAAGAACAATAATATTTTAGGTAGTTCTCAAAATGTCAGAAGGGTCAAAAACTGAAGAAACTATGCAAGAAGAGTGACAGAGAATTTCTGAACATGTAATACAAATAAAAAAAAATAGCCTATAACTTTTTTAGCAAAGGAGGGGAAGATGACAGGACAGTGTCTTGCTACAAAATAAATCTTATTAACAGGACAAACAGCTGAAGAGGAAGTATTTAAACTTTTAAAACTCAGTGAAACAAAATTATCATGCAGCATAACTCATTTGTTCCACAAATTCTTCAGCTAATAGTCTACTAGTGATACTAAAAACCAAGACTTGTTGTTCCCTTTCTCTGATGACTGAAATGAAAGACGGAGTTTTTTTTTAAACTCACCTGTTCCTGAAGACTCTAGTCTTGCCTTGCGCTAGTAAAGCTGACTTATTCTAGAAAAAGGCATTAGACATCCACCACGACAGACTATGCTAGATAACACAGTATCTTGTTTCTTATTCCTTAAAAAAGAATATTGGCACCTTGATCCATATTCATACCTTCAGATTTTTGGCATTTAAGTCAAATGCTTCAGTTAAGAGCTTAGCCATCTTAAACTCCACCCAAACGAAAGAAACAATCACCTTCGAGATGAAGCAATTTAAGTGCTTGAAGTTTCATGCAATTAATATGTGATGTATCTCAAATAAATTATAAAATAAATAAACCCAAGACACCAGCCCAGAAGCACATTACACACCTGTGAACAGTCTCTGTCCTAGCATGCTATATCTCCCACACATACGTAAGAAAGCATTAAAGGTACACTTTCAGGTACTTCTCATTTGGCAAAGGCATACCTTGTTGTCTTCCCAATAAAGAGCATAACATTCATCCCCTGGTCTCCAAGTTTTTCCATACTCCATGTGAATTGATGGTTCTAGTATTTTCTCTGGTTTGATGGGCCCAGATCTCCTTTTGGGACCAGTGTTGTAATACAACATCTTATCATCAAAAGATGGGATTGTGGTGGGTCCTGATGATTTAATAAGTCCTACTCGTCTTCCTTTCTGATGATGCTCAGTATCCCCATTTGGTACAGCATGAAAATTATCAGTTCTAACAGGATTTTGGTAATCACCAAAATGTTGCTCACTTTTTACCAAAAAGGCTTCACTACTTACTGTTCGTGCCTTCCTATCACAAAAATTTTCAGAATTGTGTATTTGGTTTTCCCTTTTCCCACGTTTCGGGTTATTGTTGTCGGTAGTATCTTGAGCAACAGAGTTCTCCTTGAATTCTGTGAAAGACACCCCTTTTCCTACTCTATTTTGCATATTGTTATCCCTTTTTTTGAATGTAGCATCACTCTGGTGAGTGGCTATGGGATAACCCAAATCCTTTGGCCTATCACTTCTAGGATAATGTCTCTCACTCTTATTTTTTTCATCTGTCCAGTGTTCTAAAGAGCTGTGCCTTTCAGGACCTCTGTTTCTTGGTAACCCACCACTTTCCAAAGCCTGCCTTGAGTTTTGAATATCCCGTTGAAAACGAGGGGGTTTCTCATTCCTTGGTTGCCTCATATCATTCCGAGAAATGTGTCTTGAATGATTCTCTTTGATACCATTCTGTTCCGTGTTCATAACTCTGTGCTGTATTTGATGTGGTGGCTGAAATTGCAACTTTGGTTCTACAAAGAAAAAAAATATTTTAATTATTAACATATTTCACTCAAATGTATTTCAGAAACAGTGTTTCAGACACTAACTGATAAAGCAACAGCGGTATTTAGAAAGAAGTGTGCAGTATTTACAATACAGAAATGAAATGGTACACAGAAAACATACACTAACTCTGGGCTATACTTAGAATCAAACCACCTACCAGTATTAGAACAGCTGGGCATAAATTTGCAGGAGGTTATTACTTATTTCCCCCTATGGAGACAAGGCCAAGTGCAAGGTCTGCAC